GGATGAGGTACCTCTCTTAAGGAAAAGGAAAAAGCAAATAACTGCTCAGTACAGAGTAATGCCTTTGCAGTGGTCTTGTCTCCCCACCATTTAATGCATATATCTTGCCCAGGTAGAGAAGAGTGGTGAGAAGACTGACACACAGATGGAAAGCAGTGTGCTTTTTCTAGGAAAGCTGGAAAGATCAACACTGGGTTTTGTAGATGTTTGTAGTAAATGAAAAGCAAAGCCTTTTCTGCTGGGCTGTATGTTAATAAATGGCATCAAAACACACCTGAAGTACAGGAGCAGTAGCAGCTGTAGGTACCAAGGAGGCTTAATAAACACACTTGGTCTTGGCTTTACACATTTCACACTGATCCTTGCTCACATGCCTCTGGTTTGGCACTGGAAGCATTCAGCTGTCTTCTTAGGGTGCTCTGTGACCTTTCACATGTTAAACCATTCTTGGTTTAGTTTGTTTGGTTGGTTGGTTTTTTTTTTTTTTTTTGTTTTTGTTTGTTTGTTTTTCTGGAAAGAAAACAGGAAAGATTTAGCAAAGTTCCACCAATACATACTTTCCAAGGAGCAACATTTGCCCCCCCAGTGAGGAAGTGACTGGTGCTGGTAACGGCAGCTCTACAGAGCTGTAACAATTTAGGAGCCTAACTGAGGGATCCAAAATAAGTCCAACGCTCTGAAGAATTTCATTCCAAGATGGTTGTTTTGCATCAAAATAGCTTCCTCCCAGTATTTTAAACCTTGAATTTTAAATAAATATGTGCAAGGAGTAATTTTACTCGCAGAGATCATGCAGCACACTCCTGCAACAATTACACAATGCTATTTTCTGGTTTTGCTTCTATCAACACTCGGCTTTAAAAATAAGGAAATATCTAATAACGTTTTGAATTATAATTAAGGCAACTCTAATGGGATTTTGTGGACTGTGATTGGCATCCCAAGTATGGCATCAGACAGAAAGGGGAATGTACAAGAGACGCATCTCCAGGACACATTCAGAATTAGCAATCATTTGGGTAATTACAAAGCTCCATTTTATAAAGAACCAGAAAACAAGATTAATTTATAAATCAGTTTATTTACAGATTTTGTCCTTTTAAAGTACATTTCAGTTACCAAAGATATTTACACTGGTGTACACAGGGGGCACCCTGGTTATTTTACAGTTCTTAATTACAAAAAAATCCCAACAAACAAAACCCCTCCACATCCTTGGGTCTGTCTACTGTGCAAAGCTGCTCTGGATGTGAACATTAGCTGAAACTGGCCCAAAACCCAAGTTACCAGGTTATTTACACATACACAGTAAACGGGCTTCTTTTCAGCATCTCCACAACACAGTACACAGGGAGATGGAGCCTCCCAAAAGGTGGCTTTGCAAATGTGTATCAAAAGGCTCTGCAAAGTCAGGGGAAAAAACTAATAAATGCAGGTTAATTACAGTATTCCTCTTTCATCTGTATATAATTTTGCATTTAACATTTAAATTACAAGTAAGTTCAATAGTTTGCTTTTCTCCATTTTAGTTGATTTGTAAACACTTCAGATGCACTAAATACCTTATAAGTTTCAACCGTTTTTCTGCTGAAAAGTACTTTATTTTCCTAATATTCTTAAGGTAGCAAAGGGATATGAAAGTTGGAACTGCATGCAGTTCCCTCCAGAATAGTCATTTAAAAGGTCTCTATTACTGTGCTACTGAAGATCTTCTGCAGGTACACATTTATTCAAGTATTGCAAAAAGCTAAGGCCACTTTTTCAAGAAAGGAAAGTGAACAAGATGGGATTTTTCAATCCCTCATTCCACCTTGTGAGCAACAAGCGTTTTCTGAAAGGCAGAAGTACTGATACTCCACAGCTCGGCTCAGGGAGCATCCTAATATGACAGAGGTACTCACACTCCTTGTCCTCACAAGTCTGGGCTTTCCTACCTGGCACCAAGATCCTTCTGAAAAGAGAACTCCATCTCTTCAGTGACAACAGCCACTGCCCCAAACAGCTTAAGGGTCTCAGAAAAACGTCTCAGCCTTGAATCTTCTACTGTCGTTGCACCAAGATAACCAGGACCCAGAAATACCACCTTGTTCTTTATAATGGGAAGGTTAGGGATTAGAACAAAACAGAGAATTCAGTCTTGTTTGTGAGACTCCAGGCTTCCCCATACCTCCTTGTTACCAGCCACGACCCAGACAGACCATTGCTTCATCATGGTAATCATCAGCCTACAGGTACTCAACATACTTGAGGTTTTGAATATATACTCAAAGCAACTCAACACACTTGAGGTATTGAGAAGGTAATTCATGTATGTTCAAGTCTTTTTAGGGTTGCTCCTAGCAAGGATTGCTACCAAAAATAGAGATGTTTGCAAAGGAATAAAGCCATTAATTAGATACAGCTTTCTTCTGCTGAAACAACTGCAAAAATAGTTAATACTACTGTTGAGGGTACTAAGCTAGTGCTATCCAAGCCAGCAAGACAACAGGCATATGATCTCCAGTGGTCCCTGGTACCACAGGCCAACTGTACAACCTTCTCCCTGCTGGTGGACAGACCAGAAAAGCTATGCCAGCGCTGCAGAACAGTTAAAAAGTTTCAGGGTGCAGGGACACCTGCCACAGAACAGAAACCAACTTTGTTTCTCTGATTCTCCAGCTATAAATCTATGCTGCAGGTTTCTGTCTTCTTTCTGTAATTGCTACCTATAAAAATAGCAATCTCCACTATTGAAAGAGATACACCCAGGAAAGGGAATCTGAGGCGGTGACCCGAGCAGTGACACCATGCTAGTTAAACATAGCAGCTTTAGTTTGCTTCTGTCTTAAGCAGTCAAGAGTTTCCTGGTTCAGCATGATGACACTTTATGTGGACAAATGAATCACTTGGTGGAGGGAGGGGGAAACCGGAACAACGCTCCACCAAGACCACTTGACTACCAGCTAGCCAGAAGGGCCACTACAGTGGGACAGACACACATATGCCTGTCTGAGGTGTTCCTATACACCATTTACCTCCTCCTCCTTGTTCTTCCACTCATTCAGCTCCCATTTGTATGGCTCTCCATTAACTCTCAAGTGAGGTGCTGGCAATACTACATCTGAGAATCTGCATGGATCTCCGACAAATCCAACATTTCCCAGTGCTGTCCCTGAAGAATTACCAGCCATGTGTCATTGTGCAAAATGCAAATATTCCAATGATAGCTCCCCAACCCTCCCCCCCTCAAAAAAAAAAAAAAAAGAAAAAAAAGAAGAAGTGGAAAAGAGAAAACAAATTAAGCACTAGCAGAGGTATGCATAGCAGGAAGCCCAAGAACCAAGCAGATGAACCAAGCGGTAGAGATCTCCCCGCCATGCCTATTGTGGGCTGCAGCATCTTTGGGGGCTGCAGCACTCTGAGGGCTTCAAAATGTCTTTCTGCACTTGTGTGCCTGAAGAATCTGACACTCTTCTGGGTCTTGTCCCACATTAGCAAACAGGGACATCCACTATTAAGGCATCAACATTCGACCCCAGATTGTCTGTGTTCCTCAAAGAAAAACACAAGAATGGGAGGAACAGGTTCGGAACAGCACTCAGCAGAAGGACACTGCAGTTGAACCCAGTACCAAATCAACTGTGTAACAGCTCCCCAGGGCCTAGAAGGTCTGGGATAGAAAGGAAACGGAGCTTCTTCAAGCTCGGTCCACTCAACTCTCCATTGTCTCAAAACCAGGTGTGGTGAAGCTCCATTCCTAGTCCTTGCCTTTGCATCCCACCCCTGATCACTGAGGTTTGGTTCTTCTCACCTCCCCCCCTCTATTTACCTCAAGAAGCTGGAGGTTTTGTGCGAAGAGTACCAGGCTCTAGAATTTTCCAGAGCAGATGCTTTCTCAAGTTTGGCTGTCTCAAAACTAAGACAGTGCAGCCAACTGCACAGGACACTCTCCTATAATCCACTTAATAAATTATCTGAAAATAAATAAAAAACACCCACAAGCACAAAACATGCAGACAGTCAAGCACCGGACACCACTTTCTTTGGTGAATACACTCTGTTCTCTAAATTGTTCAAGTAACAGCTTCTCTAAGTTATTAGGTGACAGTAAGGGAGAAAGCTGAGAGATTGAAGGCCAAATTTTTGTGAGGAAAAATTTTCCACTCCTGCATGTCTCGTGCCTGAGAAAATCCTGAGTATCCATTATCTGGGAGCAGCTGATGCTCCAGGAAGAGAAGTGCTACACAGTAGGAGGAAAGCTGTCCATGGGCTCATGTTTAACACTTGACATTAGGTGTCCTTTATCTTGCTCCACCTCGGGACTGAAGCAAGTTACATAGGAAAAGCAGCAAGATTTCTTTACTTGAATGCAGAAAGCAACATCATCACCCTGGACTGGCTGGCACCATACTTGGTACCACATCACAGAAGAAAGGTGAAGACCAACTTCACAGAGAAGGGAATTAAATGGGCTCTGGAGCAGAAGAAACTGATGCACATTGGTAGGGTTGGCTGCAGGAGAAGAGGTGTTAGGATTATAACACTGTTCAGTATGGTAAGTCTCCATTTAAGACTAAAACCTGACCAAATTGTTTCTTCTCCAAATTACTCACATTTCTAAAGACAAGGCAAATACTGGTGGCTGACAGCCATTCCAGCAAAATAGCTAATATCCCAACTTAACCCAACCCTTTCAGAGAACAAGCTGACATGTCAAAGCCACAGGCCAGGGCTCCAGACAGCTGCTGACAGTTATGTGGCATAACTGCATTGGCACACAGTCTTGAATACTCCACGGTGCAGCCTCGAATGAAGGATCCGCTTGTTCCAAATCCAGTGCGAGGTCCCAGTGGCAGTGGATGCAAATTCAGGTTCTTTTAATCACATCTGAACTGCCTTTAAACCCCACATATGGAAGGAAGTCCAGCAGCAGCACTTGCAGCATGGAGAGTACGTCAGGAGTCAGAAAGGCTGCTTTCTGATTCAGTGGTTATGCAGCTGTAAGTTTACTTTCAGCACTGTTAGACAAGCAGCAGTCTCTGCTGTTTCTCATTTATCTGGTTCAGTACATCAACAGTGTCTCTGATTAAGGCCTCGAAGATCCCATCTGCCAACTGCATCTTTACACAGAGTTCATCCTCGTCATAGTTCACCCATTGCGCTTCTTCCTCATGAAGTTCCTGCACCTTGGAGGGCAGAAACGCAAAATACAAATATTATAATTCTGTTGCTTTAGGATAGTAACCCCTGCAAATTCCAGAAAGAGTTCAAACAGCACACATCTGTCAACAACGTATCTGTCTTTGTAAGAGATTACAGGAAATGCTTTGAATAGCAAAATGAACACAGATCTGTTTGAACCAGGCTATTTCACTGTATGAATGTTTTCTACCTTTCATTGTAGTATCCATTTTAAAGGAGTTGTGCACAAGTTTTTCACTTCAAAGAACTCAGCTAATGAGATACTCTCGGTCAACAGCAGTAGCTCCATTTAAAAAAATCCCTAACCGTTTATTTGCAAGAAGTTGATTCTATGCAGCTTAAACTGGTAAGAAATCGTGCAAAGGCCTTGAACAGGGGAAGAAGAAAAAGAAAAAACTTTACTGCAGTTCAGTTTATGTGAATAATAATTAGAAAAACTAAAGGAAATGTTTTTTCCAATTCTTCTGTATAGGAAGAAAAAATGCTGGCATGTGTTGTATGACAGTATTACAACTCCTTTTGCACAGAATATGCCACACTTCGTTGGACTTGACAGCATCATTACAAGTGGAATTTTGTGCCATTACATATGAAAGAGTAACTCGAAGAATATTTATTTCTTTCTATTCCTAAATTGTTGACAAACAAAATCCTGTTTTACTGGCCATTGGCAAATAAGAGTTTTAGTAACAGACACAGAAATAGGCAATTTCATTCAGCAAATCAAAGTCTTATCTAGACACTCTCCAAACAGGATTTTTCCAATTAAACTTCTTAAAAATTTGTCTTAGTGACCATTTCAGTATTACATCCTAACAAAGCTCAAACATTTTAGAAAAGAGTAGATGTAAACATTACTCATTTAAAATGACAAAGAAAACCCACTGAAAGCTCTTTCTCTGCTTGGCTTCAGCAGAAAGCTCCTCTGACTGTAATTCCTGCACTCCGAACTGAAAATACATTTACATGACCATATAAACAAGTGGGCCAGACACCTACATGCTGCCAAACCAAGGTTAAAACATACTCAAAATCCAGTATTTCAGTACCAATATCTAATATTATCTAAAGACAGTACAAGAGCTATACCCCCAACACCCTTCCTTTCGCCTGAAGCTAAACCACCCACAAACTTGGCCATTTTGAAGGTGACAGCTGCTGTAGCCTAATGATGATTCAATAACCCAAACGCAATGTGAAGCCCAAAATCAGGCTGCTGTGGGAACCCCAGGGAACTGGCACTGCTTCAGGGTTTGTAGCCATTCATAAGGTCTCAGTTATACATGTGGTTTCAGTCTGACATTTTCTTTCTCCGTCTCTTAAGAGAGCTTGAGGAGAGGGGCAGGGATTTCATTCTGCAAAGAGCTTTGTAAGAGTCATGCTATGTGCTTACAAATATCTGCATTACCACAGTGAGCACTCTTCTTTGGCACAGCCCTCATTTCCCATACAGCTGTCAAAGGTGAGGTGTTAATGGTTTTATTATGCTTCTTACTAACACGGAAGAAGCAACAATATTCACAATCAAAATTTGAATGACTGCTGTAGGTGAAAAATAATTTAAATTGAATGCTAACAAGCAGCAGGTAATTGGGTCTAAGTTTGTGTAGATGTGGATGTCTGAAACATACTTCTGAACTCTCCAGCAGAATTGTGCTCCCTGCAAACGCTATGTGCTGGCTGTAAATTTTGATAAACACTGGGCTAAAGAATAGCAGCATGTCCTAGGTCCTCCCATGAATAAAGAGGCATGACATAGAAGCACTGATTTGGAGGCCAATCATGTGCTGTGTCTGCATCACAGACATGAAGAAAAGCAAGATATAGGGGTCACAGAAAGAAGAGGTAATGCTAAAAAGAAAGGTTTCCAAATAGCAGAAGTGGTCTGGGAAAGAAAACACGGGTCCCAAAGTGTGAAGGTGAAGATCCTGGCTGGAGGGAAGATCTTGGAAATGGGGGAAGATCCTGGAGATGATGGAGGTGGGTGGAGACAAACACTGGGGCACACCCAGGGACCTTGACCGATGACACCCAAGACTGGTAACTGGGAGCACTGGCACCACACCAACTGGTGAAATTTTATGCCGGGCCCTCCCAGGCCAGCAGTGATCTCACTGCTGGAAAGCGAAGTCAAGACCTAGTGAATGTAACACTGGGGGTGGGGAGAAGCGAGTGAGTAAAATAATCAAGAAGGCTAAAAGCTTTGATCACATTGGCCCTTAAGCAAACCCCAATATTAAGATCCACATTAAGATGCTGTTTATCTGTCTCACCTGCAACAATATGATGGGACAATTCCTTTACTGTGCTCCAGAAGGAAAAAGAGATCCATGGGATAAAATAAAACAGGAGAGGAGAAGGTAACGTGATCCAGGCAGAGAAAGACTGGATGTTAAATAGCAGTAGAAAGATGAAGAAAGGAAAACAGTATCAGTGATTAATTTTCTCTTGCTTCTGCCATTCCCCTCCTTCTCAGAGGCACAATTTCCTTTGACATTAGGACTTCCTCGATCATACTTCTGGAAAACTAAAGAGAATGTGCAATTTTTGTGTATATATAGATATATGTTCTGAATATAGTGTATTCAGAACATGTGTGGAAACTGCTGTGCTACTTTGCAGCCCTAGCAGCAGACATCTGAGCCAAGGCAGTTGCAACTCCTTTGCCAGGAAAAGGTTTGATCCATTTGCTGTATTACCACAAACAACTTCTAAGCAATGGAGAAAGTTTGCTTATATTTGGTGACTATTACGGCTTTCATGGAAATGGACTTTGCATGTAAGTTCTTGCACATTCTCGTGACAAAAGTAAAACTCCACATATTTGATATAAGGAAGTTCTCTATACCAAAGAGAAACTGCATTTGGGCAAAGTCAGGAGAACAAGTTTTAATGAAACTGAATTTCATCCTACAGGAAAAGATAAATAGTGACACACTGTGGAAGGCTGTGTGGTATGGGTTTTTTTTTTTAACATGCACTTTTTTTTGTATGCACTTTTTTTTTTAAACACAGAAGGAAAGCAGGGGGCAGGCACACAAAAGAAAAATCACGAGATAATAAAATAGTATGATCCTGTTGGCCATTTAATAAATGTTACAGTACCCCAAAACATCACTTAAAATAATGCAATCTGGAGGAAACTTTAGAGAGTAACTTACTAAGTTTAGATTTCTAGAGGTTCCCATTCAAAACATGAATATCTGCAAACTAAACTACGTTTGAGAACTAGATCATTTAGGAGATTGAAAAGAATAAAACTCCAGATGTAAACTAGCGTCTTGGAAGAACACCAGTAGCAGAAAGGCAGGCAGATGCATTCTCACAGCTTGTCGCTCTCAAGATTGTCTTGCAATTTTAAGATGCTTGACTGTGCATGCAAGCAGGCTTTGATTCTCATTAACTGTTACATTCCGCTTGGGTTTAGATCTCAGGTGCCACAAAAGTGGGCCTTCTGATTAAGCCAGCTTGATAGAACGGCTTTGCTTTGTTACAGAGTTTCTGCACTGAGAGAAACATCTTAGCTGTTAAGCCAACAGGTCAGAAGATCACTTTTCAGCACTCTGTTGGCAGGCTTCTCAGGTGCAAAAGCTGAACACATAGGTTTGGCAGTATCATGTGAGCTTTGCTTTCTCGAGCTTAGGATAAAAGGGAAGGGAGGGTGGCAGGGAAAGCAATAGCAGAGTTTGTTCTAACCCCATGCAAACTGATCGGCACCAGGAGTTTTTGGCTGAAGACCCAAGCGGAAAACAAAAGGAGCGGAAACAGCCTATTGTTAGCACCTGAACTTAAATAAGGAGATATAAGTTCTCGATGCAGCTTAAAAAGAGGTTTTGAAAGATGCAGGCAGACCTGTTGAACCAAAATGTGGCACCTCAGCCTACATGTACATTTGGGATTCTCCCACAGACAGCATACACACGATAAAGGCAGCAACATGAAGGGACATGAGAAGAAGAAAGCAAATATTTAAACATTCCTTTAACTTAATTTTAAACCAAGCAGTTTCTCATAAATGAGAACCTCCCCATACTTGTTTACTGAAGCCAAGATTTGCTGTAAATATTAATAACCGGAGCAACTATCCAGCAGATCAGAGAGATCTCTTAAGAAGTTCCAACACAAATGCTTTATGAGGACCAAAATGCCTGATCAAACTTAATAGTGCTGCAAAAAAGGGTAAGAGGAAGACATTTTTTTATTGCTGGCATTAAAAAATGGCTAACTATATTGGTGTCAATGCTGGGGAAGCACAGACAAAAGTGAAAATGCAGTAAAGATGTGTGTGTGATAGCTGACTGCAGTCACCCACAGGACCCAGGTCACAGAAAAGCACCAATGAAGCACAGTCTGCTTCTACTGCCCTGTTCCTTCCCCACAAGGCTGAACCTTTGGTGGAGATGAGAAGCACTGGGAATTGGGTGTATCATAATAAACCCAGAAAGACACATCCAGGGATAATCAGGTTGAGAGTAAGCTGGGCAGAACAGCCTGGCACTTGCTTTTGTGCCTTCAGAAGAAATGAAGTCATGCCTTGTTCCTGGGTCAGACAGTATTGGACAGTCAGATGCGTTCAATCTTCTCAAAGTCACTAAAAATGCATAGTTGCCTCAATAGAAAACTATCAAAGGATGTTTTCATTTGGAGGTTAGTTTTGCCTCGGGAAATTAAGAAACTGGGAAGGACCTGTGCTCGAAATTTAAGTGCAAATAACAGAAGCCTAAGAATGTTTACCTCTGCTTTAAAGAAATCATGTTTTAAGTCTTTGTCTTTATAAGCAGCAAAGAATTTGAAGAATCAATCGGCTCATATGTACTCAAGTGACATCCCCTGCAAGAGGTGTATATTGGCTAAATCTTCACAAAAACTTGAACAGAACATTTTTTTATTATGATTTCTAAAAAAGCTTCCACAGCACCTAAACTTAACAAAAAAGCCTTGATTTCTCTTTCAGGAAATTGCTGTGTTGCACTACTTGAATATACTTTAAACAAGATTTGGAAAACTCCAAAACTGACCTCTCAGTTTAGGGCTACACTGTTACTAGTGGGTAGGGTAGCAGATCTTGCAGAGGTCTGTATATCCACTTATGACCTTGGATTTATGTTATCAAAGAACTCATGACCTTAAGCATAAGTTGGAGGCTCACAAGGAGGCAGAGAAAGCTATCCAGCTACTCACGTTTTACAGAGATTTTAATAAAACAAGGTAGAGATAAATTGAACACACTCTCCAAAGGTTTTCTGTCAGAAGTTTCTCTGATAGTATCTCACATTACAGTATGAATTTGCTAGCAGTGCCACCTGGACATGCTTATTCCTAAAGCATTGCTGCAGCCTTCACAGAGTTATTCCCGGACTTCACCTAAAATTTTATTACCATATTCTAGTGAGAACAAGATAAAATTAAACAAATTACTTATTAAGCCAAACTTGTCAGAGCTCCATTAATCTTTGATGTCTGAGTCTGCATCTAAGTTGCAGATCAGATCCTCTGAACTTGTTTCACCTAAAGCACTTTGGATGCCTTTAATTAGAAAAATTTTTTCCAGTCAGGAATCTTTCTTTCTAGGTATGCTTCAAAGAAATTAGGAAATTGGTGAGTAAGTATAGCAGTTGTACCATTAGTTTTCTCAGGGATCTAAACACAGTGCTTTTTTTGTGCATGCTTTAATAGCCTTCATATCCCCAAATCAAACATACTAGGATATGCAGGTCCTATGCATAGATATTCTATTTACATACAATTAAACCCCTGGGAAAAAGTCTGTATTGGAAACCTTCCACTGATGGGCAATTAAAAGACCACACGACCCATGACTTGAAGTTACTTATATGTGCGTGTGTGTGGAATCAATTTCAGGTATAATTAAGTGAAGCACAGTGTTAATGATGACTCATATTCCCAAGCAGAACCTTCACTATCATTATAGCCAATAAAGATATTAATCATCCTGCAATACAAGCCAATAAGTAACTTTCAAAAACTAGTACACAGCCAGACACGCTCTATCTTATGCAGCCTTAACACTGAACTGTCTCTGCTGCAGTGGCAGCTGCATTCACTAGTTCATATCAAGTACTAGAGGAAATGCTCAGCTGTGGGTACCATCTGTTAGACTGGTAACCTTTTACTAAGGACTATCATGTCCCATACCGTCTCTTCGAAGTCTTTGCGGTTCTAGCTCAACGACTCTGCAACATTTTGGCTGAATCTGGTTAGCAGTCTGGCCTATAAAGTTCTCTGTATTATTGTCTCCAATGAGTCCTAGTACTTTAAAACATTTTAAAATAAAGAAGAAAAACATATTCCCTTCCCAAATAAAAAGTTTACTATCCTTTCAGTCAAATATTTCAGTGTTTCCTTCTGTAAATTCATGCTATAACTTTTGGCAGTGGGCAAATTTATAATCCAGCCAAATTAGTAGGCATGAACAGAGAATTCACTCAAGTCACCTTACTTCACTGGCACTAGACTTCTGTTTCTGTCATTAGGGTGCTCTCTAAAATTAAACACCACCTATCACAACCTCATGGACACTTTGTATTCTTTAAACAGCATGACTGACTACTGAAAAATACAACTGTATGTCACACTTCAGTCTGGTGGGCAGTGTCTCACATGATTGCCTATTTTCATCCACTGACCAGTATATGATCCACTCGGTCTCGTTTCTTCCGCCCAAATTTCATCATCTTCTGCCAGTCTGTTTTGTGATTAGGCTCCTTCCTGAGGCTGAACAACTTCAGTACTTCAGCTGCAATGAAGCTCTACAGAACAATAAAGGCGAGATTATCACATTTCACCTAAGAAAGTAAATGTGTGCACAAAGTACCTTTCTGCTTAGCTAAGAGACACAGGGTGTATGCATGAAAACTTGGAGTGAAAGTCTCCGCAGCAGAACAGGTAGAACAATTATTAAATCCAGAAGTGTGTGTGTGGGGAGAATGACATCCACTGCTGTGACCATCTTGAGAACAGAAACTTTCAATTAAACAGCAAACGGATTATGACAATCCATTTTATGGGAGAATATTAAAGAAATGCTGGGTGGGAATTTGGTATCCTTGTCCTGTGTTCCAGCCCCCCGCCACTCCATGCTTTTGAAAGTTTTCTCAACTGAGTGATCTAGATACTATTTCTTTCTTTTCTGGGCAGCATCTTAATCAAAATACAGTTACCACTTTCCAAAGTGGGGGGTGGGGGGAGAGAGGATGGGGGAAGTCTTCATAGTTGGAAGTCCTCATCTGTGTCTTGATGGAAGGTTCTTAGTCGAGAAATTTCAGGGACAGGTTTTTTCCAAATATCTAGCCCTGCAAGTTTAATCTAGGTCCAGTCATGCTCTAGCTTCCTGGAGTTTTGTCCTTTCTTGAGCACTACCACCAATAACAGGAGATCTCCTCTGGCTTAGCAAATACAACAATGCCCCCACCAGTCAATTTTTGGATCCCTCCTACAAACTCCCACTGTCCTTAGTGAGGCTGGCACAGGTGTGTCTGAGTAAAAAAAAAAATCCAGCTCATCCCATTTGGCCCAAACCTACCCTTGGACCCACGCCAATGTGCCCATACAGAGTTCCACTGAAATCTGCTAAAGCAGCAGACAGTCAGCATACAATTTTATAAAATCAAGGTCATCCTGGCAGTTCTGCAAAGAGGACTAAGGTTTAAAAGCAACCAGTACCAGCCAAAAGGACAGGGAAGCAAGTATGTTGAATAAAAAACTGGACCATTTTGACAAACTCCCTTTCAGGTTTGTAATCTCGTCTTCTCAGCTCATCTCTTGCTGGATACACCTGGCATGATCTTTTAACACTCAGGCAAGTGCTAGTACAATTATTTTTCACCTGACTTTTCCACTTTCCCTGCGACGCAAAGATTTCTTCCTACCTTGATTTCATCCAGGTCATTTGGATCTTTCACTCGGCGAAAGTAAGCAGATGCAATCCTACATGGTTTCATCCAAACAGGCTGGTTTAGATTAGGATCCTCAGCAAACATTTCCCCAAAGATCTCTCTTGTTAAATCAAAAACCACCTTAAGAAAGAAAGAAGTAAAAGTTAAAGCTTCTGTTGTTCATGGTAAACATTATAAGGGCAAGAACAAACTGTCTGAAAACTGTACCTTTTTATAAACCTGCTTGTTTATAAAGTCTGTGTCCTGCTCTTCGAGAGTACTACTAAGATCTGTATGAAGGTTGAAACTTTGAAGATCATGACCCAGCTCCTTCAGTTTCCAAAGTTCCTCAGCTGCTGCATGCACCATACCTTCCACCTCCACCGCAGTATGTGGGACCGCCAAAGGCTCCTCACATGGCTTTGTTGGCACTTTCTGCAGTTCTACCTTGGGTAGCACTACTGGTTCCTCAGCTTGCTTCTGCTGGACCTTATGGGAACTCAGGCCATAGTCCTCATCAAACCAGTCCTGATCATCTCCCAGCACACTCAGGAACTCCCGATTGAGCTCCAGCTCTGCCAGTCTCTTGGCAAGCTCTTCCTGACCACTGGCACCAAACACTGGACTCTCCTGTGAATTAAGAGCCACGGATTAAATATAAAAGCAGTGTCACACTCAACTGTCTAACTCAACTTACATTTTTAAATGCTCTACTGGTGTAATCGGCAATATATGCACAAATATTCAGGAAAATAATAAATATCCCACTGTAAAATTAGAAATATTTTGATTCAAATACCTGGGGTTTCTACCACTTCTGAGAAATGCTTTCAGAGGGCTCCTACAGAGCTTAAGAGACTCTGCATCCTGCCCACTGTCTGTCCTAATGTTTAACTCTTTATGAAAGGCTGAGTGGTTTAAAAACTGGTAATGTGACATACAACTTTTCACTTCTCTTAACAGCAGTCTCAGATCTAAATCAACAGCCTAAAAGCTTTTAGCAGGCAATGGCCGTTTTAGTGACTGAGCGGTGCTCACACTGGTGAAATGGGCTGAAGCTTCCTGTGATGACAACATATTGAGATCAATGGCAAAGCAGATAGATTTACTGGGATCTTCAGCAGAAAGGCCAAGCCCTGTATCTGTATCATTAATGATTGTTCTGAGGAAGCTTGAACTTCCACTACTCATGATATATTAGTTCAGAGGATAGAGCAGTCTGATACCTTAATGACCTCCAGAGCAACTAATTATGTTTAAAAATCATTATTTCATACCAAGAATAACCAGAGGTAAGTTTATAATCTACTGCATTATGCCATTTTTAGAGTAAAAACTGAAGGTAAGGACTAAATACAAATTTAACATGGAAGCAGAATGCAACCTAGAAGTATTTTTCACTTTCATGTTCCAAAATATGTCTTTTGGCATGTAGGGCTACCAAAACAAGCCAGGAACAGAACATGTCAGAAGAAACATGTAAGACACATAGGTACAATCTCCACATCACCCAACAGAACTTGGGAGAAAACAAACTGGTGCTACATAGCATTCCTCAGATTCAGTCATCGTCAGTCAAAGAAATGACTAACTTAAAAACAGTGCAAGACAACTGCTACTCACTGGTCTGGGGCACATGTCTGGAGAGGAAAGTTCTTCTCTTTCATCTTCAAAATTGGAACTCAGAAAAAAGTTATTCAGTCCATCAGGAACTTGCTTTTCTACCTGCTGGGATGGGGTACTGTATTCCTCCTTTGCATCACAGAGCTCCTGGTTGCTGAGCTGGATTTTCTCATTCCTGACCTTCTTTATTTGCTGTAACTGATTGACCGTGTCTTTTACAAAATCTCTAAGCAGACTGTCTGTCAGCAAGCTGACTTTTTCCAGTTGGTCTTTTGACTTTTCTTCTTCTCTAAGTGGCAGTCTAAGCTGTGCTTCCAACTGATTTTTTTCTTTTGTCAGCAAATCCAGAAGTGGAGTTGCTGGCTTCTCCACAAGTCCAGCAAAGAGATCATCTACCTTTTCAGCACATTCTTCTCCCAGCGTCTTCTGTCTCTCCAGTTTTTCAGAAGGAAAATCTGAGATGTCATCTAACTGAACAGTGGAAATCTCATCTGCAACACTAGAAATGAGAGGAGCAAGGTTGGCCTCCTCTTTTACAGCATGCTTCAGATAATCCACCACTGACTGTTCTCGGGCAAATGACTCAGTAGCTACAGAAATGTCATTTTTGCTGTTTGCTTTAGAAGACAACTTCTCATCAACCCTTTCCTGAGCTGAGGCTTCTGAAACAGCTGTATCTGCAGGACCTTTATCCTGGGAATAGTTCTCTGTTGCATCTCTGCTCTGGCTTTCATCCTCTTTGCCAGGTTTGGAACTTCCTCTGTCTTTCTGGTAGGCTTTGTGTTGCTTCTCCAGTCTATCATCGAAGAATGAGTCTTCATCATTGTTTGCGTCTACATGGCTATTGGTGCTTTCTGTAATGTGAGAGATTTTTTGAGGAGGAGCAAAAATACCATGCTTTTCCTTGCAATCAAAATATTTAATACCATCATAAGTTCCACTGTTATTCCCTTCAGGTTTATCCAACTCTACACCAGCCCAAAACCCTTTGGCAAATTTAGTCAGACCTTTGAATCGCAATGTTCCAGGCTGGACTTTACTCACAAGTACTCTATCGCCAATGTTGAAATTTGGCAAACTATCTGTTTCTTCTGTGATCGAAACAGAAGCCCACAGTGGTGATTCAATAGGGGCCTGTTCTTGCTCCACATCTCTGCGTTCAGTATTTTTTATAAGTTCTGTTGGGGACTTCAGTTCTAATAACCTCTCTGAATGCACGCTGCCAGACAGAGAGAGAGACCTGTCACTGAGGTATTCACTGATTTCACCATCACTGCCTAGGCTGGTGGATCTGCTTCTGCTGGTCTGTGTGTGCTGTGACCGCTCTCTCAGTGACTCCCCATTAGAGGAGACAAGAGATGCTTCAAAGTCATCTTTGTAACGTTCCCCAGGAAGCATTTCTTCGATTGATGCTTGTTTTCTGGAGGTGGATCCTTCAAAGTCTTCAAGGTACGGTGGCTCTTTTTGACTAAAGAGTTGTTCTGAAAGCAGATAACCTTCTTCCTCTGCAGATTTGCTGAGCTTGCAAGAAGACTCTTTTGCATTTGGGCCAGTTACAGCATGTTTATTTGTCAGTCTCTGTTCCAAGATTTCTTCCATACCATGAAGACTTTCCACAGCCAAACCGAACAGTTCTTTCTGAGAGTGTTCATTTTCAGAACAGAGGACTTTCTTTGCAAGGATGCCCTGTGAGCTCTCCTGTTCTTTACTTAATGTCAACAAGACATCAGAACTCTCCAAAGGTTTAACATGAGAACCTTCAATCTCATATTCCTCTGACTTCAAGTATTCCAAGTATTCCTGTATCTCAGATTTATAACTGAAGGCAGACTTATCACTGGATGCATTTACCATGTTGTTCACTGACCCATGGGATATTCTGCTAATGTCTTTCACATCTTTGAGAAAAGGTGATAAGGGTACATTTTCTAAGGAATCACCAGATCCTGTTCTGGAATGCCCTGGTGACATTAAAACTGAGGAAGGTATTCCAGAAGGTTCTTCTACATGAACATCTGTCACAGCCACCTTCTTTGTGTGTACAGACACAGATCTCCCAGTTTTTGATGACACAGCATCTTGAAGGAAAATAAAAAGTTAATTATAGCTGCATTGTTTTATGGAAAACTGCAACCATAGGCAATAAAATTAACAGCAAGGTTTCTATGCTAAAGAAGCTACAAACTGGTGCCTTGGAAAGACACTATATTTCCAGCCGTCCCATAAACATGAGCAATGCTTTTTTACTTTTAGGGTTCTAATGCTTTCTCTCTGATATTGTTCCTGTACCACTATTTTGCAACGCCATGCAATACTGACACTGAAGTAAGGGCCCAGTTATTTGTTAGCAAGCTGCAAATACAACCAATATTAGAATGGTAGATAATGATCAGCAGCAAAACATTGAAGTGTATCTAAAAAAACCCAACCCTATTCCTAAATTCTTCATTATTTTTGGTTTTCTTACTTTCCTGAAGTGATAAAGTAAACAAGAAATGAAAGAAAGGGAAAAGGTTGTCACTTAATTATGGTTTCACACAAACCTCAGCAGAGTAAAACTAAATACTGAATATACAGGAAACAGCAAAATCAGAAGCCTACTAAATAAAAACATAGCTTGATCAGTATGGTTTTATGAAGTCTGTATTCTCTCTTAAAACCTCTTCTTGAATCAAGAAGGAAAAGCTTAAAGAATTTTAAAAGACAGTCTTCCAAGATCTTCATCTGTAGTACAGATTCTTCCAGTTACATACCTGCATGTTCTGAAATGGATTCCAAAGATGCTCTAGATCGCTCTGATTCAGCCAGTGATTTCCAATTCTTAGTTGTCTCAGGCCTAAATTTGAAAAATCAAATTGCATGAATCATGATTACACGAAAATGTGGTGTTTTGTCTTTTTTTTTTTTTTTTTAAATAGATAAAAGTGGAAACGTAAGCATCTGTAATTATAATGCCACACCAATGATAACAAACAGTTTGCTTTGTCACCATACTGTGACCCTAGAAAATAGGAATGGGGACAGAGAGGAGAGTTTGGCAAGTCCTGAAAAGTAATTTTTTTTAAAGATTAATCAAACTTTAGCCTTTTTTGCAGTCAAAAAAAAAAAAAAAAAAGAAAAAGAAAAAAAAAGAAAGGGAAAAAAAGAGAAACGGAAAATAACTTTTAGTTTTTACTGGCATGCAACTAAAATTGCACCATCTGCTGGACAAAATGAAACACTTAAAAATACTGTAGGAAGAGCAGAAACCAGTTGAATTCTCTGGCTTTTAAAACCCAAGAACCTAACCTGATTTAAGTTGCAAAGATGAATGGTTTGCCTCACAGAGTGCTGCAGGCATAAGTGACCAAAATGCAAAAAAATTTCTTCTGGTTTATAATCCACTAAACCATTTGGCTCAATTCTTGCACAGCTGAAAATAGTTCAGAAAGAACTTGAAAATAGAATCTGAAAGGCTAGGCAGGACAAAAGTGAAATGCAAACAATTACAAGGACAGTCCATCTTATTTGCTTTCGGTCTAATGAGACCAGCAAATAGATCAGCAGGATACTGTCCGGTTTCTGCTAAAACTCATGGGTTTAAAGTTTCTGCTAAACTCATGGTTTCTCTAAAACAGTATTAACCACAGTTTCTCAAAAAGAAGAAAAAATTCCAGTTACCTATGGAGTGGTGGTGCCTTGATCTTAGGTTTTTCAGCAGCAGCTGAGGATGGAGTTTTAATCTGAGGTTTAGCTGTTGGTGATGTCTCCAGATCTTGGCTCAGCTCTGCTTCAGTCTTCTTGATAAACTCATCATATGACTGCACATGGAAAACAGTTATGGTTGTTAGTCTACAAAACCACAACTACAATTCAGTAATCAAAACCTGTTAAGTTAATAAAGACGACACTTTGTTTCTCCGAATACTATACTTAAAAAAAAATTAATTACATGAGAATCACTCTTCTATCTAGGCTCAGATACTTATATGTATAAACATACATAAGCCTCCTGAACACTGCTAGTAACCCATTCAAGATACAGATTTTAGAAGGGAATGTCGTTTTTGCCTCAAGGCTGCGGCTCATTGTTGAAAATGTTTAAATAGCCAGAACACAGTCACACTTCTACCACAATAATGTCTTTCACAGCTGTTGATAGGATAGTCTGCCAACAACTTCCATACTGTAATGGTTTATCCAAGGCTAGTGATGTTTTATGTCACCCGTTTTCCTACTGCTGCTAACCTCCAGTTGTTTGATTAAACTGGCTTCCTGGGCCTTCAGTCTCTCCTTCTGTCTTTTTTTCTGTTCCTTTTTCAGCTGGTAAACCACAGACTTCCTTTTCCGCAGTTCATCCTTCAGGGCCCTGATCCGTCCTTCAATGTCACTTTGATCAGATGTGGTTTCTGAAAAAGTTTAGTTTTAGTCTTTGCAAACTTCCACCTCACAAAACAGTTTTACACAAAGCAATAAACAGTCATTTAGTAAATAGAAAATACAGTCCAAGCAAAATATCAAAGAATTTAATGTCAACATGTTAACATAAGTAAGACTCTTAAAGTGGCATCTCAGATTCGTAACACTAGTATACAACACAAGAAAGTTGCATCTTATTTAAAAGAGAAAGGCTCTGAATATAGAGTACTTGTTACCAAACTTGTTCACATTAAGCACCCATGTTTATGCTGCTACCTCATTAACTGCGTACCATGTCAGCTGTAGCAGAAATTAATTTTTTCTGACATATTAAAAAAAGACAACTCAAAGATACATACCAAAAATACACAAAAAATATTTGTCTACGATCACTGTACACAGCTTCAAGATGCAGGGTACACTTCAGTGATGAGAATTTCATTCGGAACAGTGGACTGCAAAATAGGTTTCTGGCCTATTCAGATTTTTTGCCACATAGACTAAATCCATCTATGAAATTGAGAGCTGACTGGTCAACAGTTGGAAGGAAATTCAATTTGAATAATGCAGAGATTTTCACTGTTGTCAGGCTTCAGGATGACAATTTATTTAGGGTGAACAGGGGTAGTGCTGAGCCTAGACATGGTGGACTGCTCAGTAATAGCTTATACAAAGCTACTTGGCATATCTTTGCTCCAAGCTTAATTTTACAGATCCTCCTATGATGCCATTACTGACTGTAGCTGTTTTCTACCTGAACGATATTATTCTTTGATGATTATTCTTAGTAATTTTAATATGATCTCCATTCCTCTCCAACCCCAGAACTCCTTGCAACCTGGTCTTCCAGTCCTTCTGATGATGATGTTCTACCTCTTTTCCCTTAGGACACTGTCCCCAGATACTTAGATCCATTCTCTGCATGATAACCCCATTCTACCAGTAACTCTGTGTCCTGGGTTCAGTTCTAGCAGTCATTTTTCTCCTTTTTAGTAGCTGGGGCAGTGCTGCAGTTTCTGATTTTAGCCTGAGAACAACACTGATAGCACACCGATGTTTTCAGTTGTTGCTAAGTAATGCTTACTCTGACCAAAGACTTTTTCAGTCTCATGCTTTGCCAGTGAGGAGGGGCACAAGAAGCTGTGAGGGAGCAGAGACAGGACACCTGACCCAAACTGGCCAAAGGGGTATTCCACACCACAGCATGTCATGCCCAGGATATAAACTGGGGGGAGCTACCCAGAAGGCCCAGATCGCTGCTCGGATTGGGCTGGGTATCGGTCGGTGCGTGGTGAGCGGTTGTGTCCTCTCCCCTTGTTATTTCCCTTATCATCGTTATTATTATTGGTAGCAGGAGTAGTTTTGTATTATACCTTAGTTACTGAACTGCTGTTATCTCAACCTGTGGCATTTACATTCTTTTGATTCTCGTCCCCATCGCCCCAGGAGTGAGGGGAAGAAGGTACAGAGTGAGCGAGTGGCTGCGTGGTTCTGAGTTACTGGCTGGGCTTAAACCACGACACTCTGCTACTTTTGATGTTTCTGCTGTAACAACCTCTTAGTTTCTCACGCTTACAGAGAGACTGACTTAGTGTCTCGTTACATATTCTTTCTGCACACCTGATTATGTCCACTTGTTTCTTATTTAAAATGTATACCAACATAGTGCAAAATGAGATCCTTGTCCTGGATTGGTGCTACCACAGCTAAGTATCAAAACCTCTTCAAAATATTTATCTGACACAGCCTTACTGAAACTCCTCCCTGCAGCTGATGTCCCACTTCCACTTCAACAGCAGCAGCAACATCTCCTAAGAACTTGTCTGGTTTGCTTTTATAATACTCAATATTACCTATGTTTTCTGGACCAAAAAGCTTGGATGTTCACAATCACCAATTGCTTTACTGAACATCCTAGAAAGTAAGTCACCAGTAGTATCTGGTCAGCTAGCAGGAACAGCTCGCCATTTTGCTAATCAAATTTCCCAAGACAACAAACCACCATAATGAAGGATTTCATCATCAACAACAGCCAGTAAATACAATCAAACTACTGTATTCTATTTCCATTAACAACTGTTGTTAATAATTTAGAGAATTAAAAACAAAACAACAACAAAGGAAACAGCACAAAAAGAATGGAATCTCACTAGCTAATCAGGAGTACTTCATGATGCCACTGTAATTAACAAACTCCTCCCAGATAGTAAGTGACCACTATGTAATTATATCTTTTCTTGATCAGCTCATAAGGGAAAGATCTGCACATGCCTTCATCTTTGATGATCTTATCTATGTGTGCACTGGATTGAAGCAATGACTTCATTACTACTCAGCAGCTTGGGAGATTTGTCCCTTTACAATAGAATGATTTATTGTGAAACCAGCACCATCCTGATCAGCTTCCCACCTCTTATACCTTTCTTCAGCATTTGAAATCAAAGACTGCAAATACTTTATTTTACAAAAGTTTATTTTCATGACCCCTGTTACCTGCTCCAATTTTCAAACGGCTTATGTGGTTGCTCAGTCAGAACTTAATTAAGTTGCTGAATGCTCCACAATGTGGCAAACTGCTCTCCAGACATAACCCCAAAATAAATCACTCAGTACACATACCTAGGTGTCATGTATTCAGTTCTCTATCCAGCAGAACAGCTCCCTCAAAATTTCTGTGTTTCTATTGCACTCACATATACAAAATTAACAAAACCCCCTCAAAATAAAAGATTATTAAGCACCATGACGACGGGATACATACACATACCAGTAAGTTACCCATCTACCCACAAACAACAGCCAGTACATACAATAGAGCCACTTAGTCCTTTTCCCAGGAAAGACTTAAAAAAAAAAAAAAAAAAAAAAAAAGCAGAAGATACTGTCTCATTTGCTAGGAAGTATTTTATGACATTTTATCAACTGCACTGAGGAATACAAGACATCTGAGAACTAGAAGTACAGAAAGGTTCAAAACAGACTTCAGAGTTTAACAGAGCTGAGCACAGTGACCCACTGAACCACGGCTCAGGAAGTCCTGCAATCCACATGACTAACAGACTGCGAGAACACACCAGGGAAAGGACTGCTCCATACCAGTTCACGTCTAACATTCTCTCTCTTAGCATTTACTGGTAACCAGCTTTGATACTGGATAAAGGAGTATAAAGAGTCCATATAGTAGATCTTGTAATTTATAACTCAAAATGCAATCTTAGGCCCTATTTTACCGCACACAGTTCAAACTCATCTCTAAAAATAAAAACATGTGTCCTGAAGCATCTATTAATTCTGCACAAGCCAGTGCAGATCCAACAGGCTCACTCATACTGCCACAATAACAGACCTATACTGCTTCTGGAGCCAGGCTGTGTACAGAAGGAGGACAACCATGTTTGTATGCTGCTGAAC